CACATACATAAACATACGTATATATTCGTAACTTATTTGGATCTAAGTTGATGTGCAACTTTGTACAAAACGCCAAATAAAATATGTCTGTTTGTCTGTCTGGATCCGCCTCTGAGATTCCTTTGAAACTCTTTCAACAGCAAACGTTGCTCCGCTAGCATCAACTTACCAGGTGTTTAGCTTCAGTACATGCTTTAATGTTTCTCGATTTCAATGAATCCGTCACAGTTTTCCACAACTTTCTAGACTCGTAGCTCTCTTGTTTGGAAACAGGTCGCACTCTCTTGTGGAAGATTTTGAGGGTTTTTGTGTCAATCGCCGAAGGCGTCTCCTAGGAAACAAACCAGTATAGACCCTTTTAATAAATTGCCGTTGGTATTTGTGAATATTTAGACACTGATATGAGGCTATGCCTGAGTAAACGAGTCTGTGATCAAGGAACACACCGGTTTTTGACTAATTCGAAAATGGTCAATTGCCCAAAGATCCCTTAGAACCGCGGTGTAAGTTTAAAGGCACGCTAACCTGGTTACTGGTGTACGTAAATTCTATTTTGCCGTTCCACTCGCCGTTCACTTTACAGATGACTTTTCCTGTCGCTGTGTTCTTAACTTCTCCTGTTATACGATGCAATTTGCCGCCATAGAAGGGCTTCGTGTGGAAGGTAACTGACGAGTTATAGCCTGTTTTTGCACACGTTATGTGAACCTTGCCACCAAGTTCTACCCAAGGGAATGTCAGAATTGACCTGGTATAGACGGAATAGAGAGGTTTATGCTTAGGTGAAACGTTGAACTTCACAAGAGCCGAACCTAATTGAAGCAATGGGTAACAAGGCGGTCTTCTATGATGTCATTAGGTTCGGCCCATGTAAAGTTCGACGTTTGATCTTAGTCTAAGCATCTCGTTTACGGCAAAAGTGAAACACTGACAATAAAAACGCTTTTAAAAAAGTGAAAACGATTGAAAACAAGCTGGTTGGCTGTCATTCTGACTCCAAGGGCTGTTCTTCTTCCTCTCAAATCAACAAATCGACCCTAACTAATACAAGCTGGTTATAGATGTGCAATGGGGTCTTAAATCGACTGTMTAGCTGCTAGAGGCAACTTCACACAGGCTTTCAGTTCGACCCCGTTGAGCGGCGCCACTAGTGTAATTGTGGTGATGAATAGCGATAACTTTTGTCTCATTAGAGCCAATTAAATGACACAACACGAATACAGAAGGCATCTTACCTGCCGTAAGCATTAGGGAAGGTGAAATGATAGTCCTCGCCTTTGTCTATCAACGATATCACAGCTGGTAAAATAATATAAAATTATGATTAGATCTTGGAAAACGACGGTTAACGAAATAAATGAAATATAATACGCATCTTCTTTCACAGAGGGTAACCTTGTTTAAAATAACTCTCTCGCTCTAGTGTTTCTAGGTCATTAACGAAAAATACGACCGAGAAGGACTGTAGGGAGATAGGGGTACAGTAAATGTTTTATCAAAAAACGTATTGGGCTACCTGTGGTGGGCGCCATATTTTTTTGTATTCTTACCTTCCCCAATATTGTTTACTCCGATTGACATGCCATAAAATTTCGACTTCGTCCATAAATGAGCATTGAAACATATTTTCTTGTGCGGACACTCGGCGTAGAAACCAGACACTGTAGTGAAAGAGAATGAAAAAAATGAGAATAAAAGAGAGAAGGGAAGGGAAAGAAAGGGGAGAGAATAAAAAATGGCCATGTGCAATACAAGATGGCCGCCGTATCGTCGAAGTAGTCCATTGACCCTGTTCACGCGAGCCTCACATTTTGAGATCATTGCATTTATGACCTATCTCATGTCAGGCTCTAAAGCATACGAGATCGCAAATCTGTGATTGCAATAGCATTGGGGGACCTGTGGTAAGTTATGTCGAGCGAGTCCTGAGCACTACTGACCTGGTGGATGATGGGATACCTGTTCCGCAAAAAACCTGACCGTTCGATCATCTTCACTGGCTGAGACGTCGTTAGCTGTGTTCAATGGATTTCTTTCAACTCCTGTACTACACGCCTCTCGCACGTCCCAGGAGCAACTGAATGTTTCACCTAAGATTGGATTGTACGGTTTCTTGGCAAGAGCACCCTATAAAGAGAAACAGCATTGGTTAGGATGTTTACCAGAACAAAGGTAAATTCCAACCCTTTGCACTTACTCTCAATTCTGGGGGTCAACATTCCCTGAAGTCTCGGGTTTGATTACTGGTTTTTTTTGTTTTTTTTTTGGGGGGGGGGGGGGGGGGGGG